TCCTCTTGAGGGTGCTCACCGCTGCCACAGTCCTGCTCCTGCTGCCCAGTAACTATGGATGCATCTACCTGGCATGCAATGCTGAGATCCTTAGGCAAGAAATCTTGTCTTGCTCATCCTGGCATAGCTAGTGATTAAACAATGCCTACAATATAATGGGCAGTAGTGCAATGATTGAATTATTAAAGTATGAGCTAGGACCGGAGGGAAATGTATGGAAGACAGAAAGTACCTTCCGGAACACCGGTTCTCCAAGTGTGGACCCTGGCCCGGGGGACACCAGAATCACCCAGATGAAAGGAAGAGCCTTTCATCTGCAGGATAAGGAGCTCAGGTTCTGTTTTGGGAGTGGTGGGAGGTCAGGCAAAGTATTAATCAGGAATTGATATAGGAATTTAGGAGCAGTGCCAATTCCGGCGCCCCTCCCAGACTTACTGAATCGGAAATTCTGAAATGGAGCCCGGCCACTTGCATTTTCCAAGAATTCCACACCATTCTGATGCATACGGAAGCTTGAGAGCCATTGCAGTGGGCATGTCCCTCCGCAGCGCTCTCTGTGGAAGCAGCAGCCACTCACATTTTCACTGATTTCAGGCACCACAATGAAGCTTCATGTGTACTCTCTGATTTAGATCTCTCAATAATTCCCTAAGGTAGGCGGTTTTGTTATTAAAGGGGCATAGCAGCTTGCCCTGGGCCTCACTGACCGGACTGGAGGACCGGGCAATCTGGCTCTGGGAAGTGGGCCTCCCTGAAGGGCGGGGCCTCGGTGACCCCAGTAGAGCCCCGGATTTAAACACCAAGGGCCAGGTGCTGGTTCCAGCTCTGTCACCTCATCACTCATGACTGAGACAACCAGCTTCTTCAGGTTGCGGTTTCATCAGAGGAAACTAGGAGACAAATTTGGGGTTTAAATGAATCTATGAATGTGCTCCAGAAGTTTCAAGAAGGGGCACCTGGGGGTCTTGGTTAAGTCTCCGACTGATGGTTTCACTCAGGTCATGATCTCAGGATCCAGAGATCGAGCCGGGGTGGGGCTCCACGCTCAGTGGAGAGTCGGCTTCCCCTTTGCCCCTCCCTGCCACGTACACATTCTCTCTCTCTCAAATAAATTTTAACATCTTAAAAAAAAATAGTTGCAAGAGTTACAGACATGTGAGATGCAATTTGTGTATGTCCTTCCCACGTCTCAGCCTCCGGAAAGGCAGGCAGGTAACACACTTACCCCTGCGGAGTGAGGCGGGGCGGGGGTGGGGGTGTGTGGGGGTGGATGGGGGGTGGGAGAGGTTCCCTCCAGCACCAACCACATTCTTCTCACGCCTTCAAGTGGCAACCCCGAGATGGCAACAATTTAGGTCTAAAATAAGTTAGGAAAGGCTGCCTCCTGCTGCCCAAGATGATGAAGATATTGAATGAAGATGATGAATGATTCCCACCCACATCTGCCTAACTCCTACAGGGGAAAAGAGAAAAGCTGTGTGTGCTCCTGGGCACACGGACGATGTGATAGCAAAGATAGGACAAACTCCAAAACTCCATCAGGATTGAAAGTAGCCGTGACACCAAGGGGCGCCTCGGTGGTTCAGTGGGTTAAGCCTCTGCCTTCAGCTCAGGTCATGATCTCAGGGTCCTGGGATGGAGCCCTGCATTGGGCTCTCTGCTCAGCGGGGAGCCTGCTCCCCCCCCCCTTTCTCTGCCTGTCTCTCTGCCTACTTGTGATCTCTCTCTCTCTGTCAAATAAATAAATAAATAAAATCTTTAAAAAGAAAGAAAGAAAAGAAAAGAAAAGAAAAAGAAAGAAGCTGTGACACCAAAACAGAGTCGTATTCTTTTAAGGCCAGCTGGGTTGAGGGTCCCCAGCCAGACGATCAAAAGGAAACTTACTTAGAGAGCAAATTACTGATAAACAAAGGGGTAAATGCCACAGGAAAATATATGCAAACAGATAAAAATAAATCATTACATTGAAGAAAGTGTTCTTCAAGGTGGGAATGGACAAAAGAGCAAGCTTGTCACTTTCCAGCTGGTGAAAGCAATTGGAGTAAAGTGCACAGACTTTTTCTTTTTTCCCTAAATTCTAAGAGCCACATTGTTGCACCTAACTCATGACACCACCAGAGAGCGCTCTGACGTTCCCCACAGCTGACACCTGTTGCGGGGTTAGGGGATGGCAAGCAGTGGGTCCTATGTGGAAATGGAAATACCCAGGGTAATTTTGTGCTTGATTATTTATTTAAATGCATATCAATAAACCCACTACTAGAGATTTTTAACACAAAAGATCTTGAGGACTACTCAGAAGTATGCATTTTTCACAAGCTTCCTGAGGACTGGAGACCAGATAAGCAAAGTCAGGACCATAACACATCTTGCATGAACTGATCTTTTTTTGGAAAAATAATGACTTTGTGAATTAAACAAGTAGATTTTTAAAATAACACATTTCAAAGTATTACTTCAAACAACACTTTGTTGGTATTTTCTTGAAAATTTTTATTAACTTAAGTTTAATTTTACATAGATAATATATGGTTTAAAAATTGAAACAATATAATAGAGACTAAAACTATTTTTACTTCCACCTTCTTTCTACCTCCTCCACTCAGTCTTAGTAAGCAATCATTTTGATTAAGTTCTTTTGTACCCTTCTAGTGTGTCTTTGTACAGAACCAAGCAAACAAATGCGTAATTCTTATGTTCCCCTTTTACTGGACAAAAGATGGTATATGGAAATGCTGACAGGCAACTTGCTTTTTTTTTTTTCCCCCAGTTAATAGTATATATCTTAGCTTTCTAGAGCAGGAAAACATTTGTATTCTTTTTTAGCATTGAATAATATTCCATTTTGTGGATGTATCTCAGGTTATTTATCCAGACCCTTCCTGATGGGCATTTGAGTTTTCCTGATCTTCTTGCTACCCTAGGTAATGCAAGTATTTTACAAACATTTGTTATTTGTATGCAAGAATGATTATAATTATATAATAATATAATATAATATAATATAATATAATATAATATAATATAATATATAATAATTATAGGATAAACACCCAGATGAGGGATTTCCGGGTGAAAAGATAAATGCATGTGTAATTTTCATAGATATTTCCAAGTTAGTCTCCACTTAGGTTGTTATCATTTTTTGTGAAGTGTATATTCCACTACACACTAGCTAATGGTCTTCTTTAATTCGATGTCAGTCAGGTTGGTGAACAGAGGTATTTCGATGCAGTTTTCATTCGCAAGATTTTTTCCCTATGGTGAAACACCATTTGCATTTCTTTTTCACTGAACCATCTGTTCTTTGCCACTTTCATTGTGCTGCTGGATTATTTTCTTCCTGATTTCTAGGAGTTCATCATATACCGGGGAGATCAGCCCTCATGATGAGGATTACAGATGTTCTTTCCATATTGTCGTTTCTCTTTTGATTCTGTGTATATTTTTCCATGAAAGTGTGTCATCATTATGTAATGAAGTTTATCTTTTTTTTTTTTTTCCCTCCTAGATTTTAAGTCATAATTTGAAAGGCAATAAAACGAAGCACTATCAAGTAAATGAGATCTAGGCCATTCAACTGGAGGTTACATTTCAGGGTCATCTTGTGCAGGAAAATAAAACACTGACAGCAACTTAAATGTACCTGCCCCTCAGGGAAAAGAGGGGAAGGCAGTGACTACCATCACATTTCAACCTGCCTGTGACTTTATGTATGCATCTCTCCACGTCCACTTCCCCAGCTCCCTTTTCCTAACCTTGATGTCTGAAGTCCACAAGCAGAGAGACAGGCTGACAACACACCAGTGCTCCCACACCAGCACCCGCTTGGAAATACTCTGAGCTCTCAGCTGTCGTTTTGTCTCGCGTAAGGAGCCCTACCCCTGGATAGCTCATGTCAGTTCCCCTCCAGACCACCCTAGAGGTTCAGAGTTGGCCAGAGGGACGGTCTGAGTATTGAAGGATCCCATTCCCAGATGAAAGATGTGGTCTCTGGGTGACAGTCTCAGGGGCAGGCCCTGGGTAGAAAGGGGGCCGGTGCTTCTTGGGAAGGTGTCTCCCCACAATGAGTGACGAGTTTACAGAAGGGCGGGTCCTGGGGAAACCAGCCTCTGTGGCAGCAGCCTCACAAAGACACACAGCTCTGGGGAGCCAAGAGCGTCCTGAAGAAAGGGCATGGGGGTGAGGAGGGGGCCCCCCTCCCAGCTTTGTCTGTACCCTGCCACCACCTTGCAACATGGGGAGTGATGTCACCAACCTGCCCTCCAATGCCCTGGAAGGAGCACCTGCTCGGGTGGTTTCTTCCAGGCTCTGATGGGCAGAACCGTGGGAGGGGGCGTTTTTTGTACAAAGATGTAACATTGTGGGGACAGGGGGCCACGGTGATTCAACTCTATGGGAAAGCTTTACAAAAACCTTTCTGCCTGTCCCCAACCCCAATTTCTCCACTTTTCTCCTGGGTCATGGGCCTGAGGGTGGTGTGAGTCAGAATGCTCCACCCCACCCCTGTTCACCGGTCAAGCCGACACCATGAACAAGGACGGGCTTGGATCAGGACTGATGCTTACAGGCAGAGAGCCCAGATGGAAGAAGAAAGCCTACTGGCACCGCCGGTGAAGGACTCCGGGAGAATCCTTCATCCCAAACCCCACAGAACTCAGGGCAAGGTCAGTGGGAAGGTCCATGGGAGGTGACCCATCCTATAGAGGAAGAAGCCAGAAATATCCTGGCCCTTCATGGATCTGGCCACTGGCTCCAGGACCCTGCCCTCATTTCCAGACACACATCCTTTGGGTGGACCCTCAGAAGGAGTTGAGAAGGTAGTGTGGGGCCTGCTGGATAGGCGCTGGCCATATTCTGTGGCCCCAAGAGTCAGCTGGAAATGTTCTGTGCAGTAGGAGGGGCTTTCTTATACCAGAGTCCTCCAGACACCAACACCCCATCTTCTTTCCATGCCTCAGATTTGTTTGTTTCCCTGCCCCACATCACTGTGTGAACACTGAACTTTTCTTTGGAGAAGGCACCAGGCTCACAGTTATAGGTAAGACATGCTCTGGGTCTTTCCAGGTCCCTTGTAGGGGAAAGCAGGTCCCAAGTGTCCATTTTAGAGTGGCCATATGCTGATGTGCTATGATTTTACCTTCGGCCCAGGGACAAAGCTGACAGTTGTCGGTAAGGTTGGGGGGCTCTCCAGACAGGGTGTGATGGGGACGATTCTATCCCGGGAAATGGGCGAGGGAAGGGATCACCCAGGTCTTGGGTCCCGGTCCCAAGATGTCATCCCAAGATGTCTGGAGATGTCGTCTCCACCTTTGGGAACCAGTAACCAGGAGGGTCCTGGTCTGGGCACATCCACCCAGCCACCGGGGATGGAGGGTCTTCTGTAAATTCAAAACTGAGCCTCAGTGGTTAAGGCAGAGGAGAGAAAGGAGATGGTACTGCTCCTCTGAGTAGTTATCTAACAGAGGGAAGCCTAGAGAAAGCCCAGAAGGAAATGAATGAGTGTTGACTTTGGTCTGTCTCCTTCACTGACTTGTGCTCTCTGTAGCGGCTTCATATCTTTCCTTGCTCTGAACTTCGTAGGAGGCCACACTGTGGCTCTTGTTTCTGACTGTCCAGGGACCTGGGCAAGCTCTGGAAGGGAGTAGGGGAAAATATGAAGCAGGGCCGGTGGCTCTGGGAGGGAAGAGGTCCACGAACGCACCAATCTGTCCCCGAATCCCGCTGAACTCGGCAGACGGGGGAGGTTCTGAAGTGGATCTGGGAGGCTGTGCTTTTGAAACACCCTACATTTTGGGGAGGGGACCCGGCTCACTGTTGTAGGTAAGTGCATCAGGGCAGAGGGCTGGGAACCCACAAGGAGGGACTGGGGTCCAGGTGGAGCATCCCTCTTGGAGGTTTAGGTTAAAGCACATTTTATCAGCAAGCTCTGAATTCTTGTCTTGATGCGGGCAGGCAGGGACAGCCTCCATCTCCAGTAATTTCATGGACAGGCTATGCTAGGTTTGTGTTCCCCTACTGGGAGGCAGGTAGTCTCCTCTTGGGGTCCCCTTGTCCAACTCCTGTCTCCTTGGAGGATGCCCCATCATGGCCTTGTAAATGGGAAGCCTCTCGCCTCAGAGCTGCCTTACTCTTGCTGTTTCCCTCCCTGGCTCAGAAAGGAGAGGGACCGGGAGAAAGGGCTGGGGGTCACACACCTGAATCGGTCCTCTGACTTGGCACTGCACACTACGCATTAGTCCCCCCTCCACACCTCCTGGAGCAAAATTCTGCTAAGGAAAGGGAGAGGAGAGCAGGCAGGTGTACTTGGGAGGGCAGGAACTGGACGCAGCCAAGGGAAGTTTCCCTACCAGGCCGCAGTGTTGTGTAACAATGAAAAACTGTATTTTGCAAGTGGAACCAAGCTGTCTGTCCTGGGTAAGTAAGAGGCTTCCTGGGGGGCAGTGTGTTGCAAGAGTGAAGTCCCAGGAGGACTCCCGGGACACAGCAGGGAAAAGGCTCAGGGAGTGTGGACGAGCAGAGGAGGTGCTGGAAGTTCTGGCGGACACTAGCTTCTGGAAGGAAAGGCCCCCGAGAGCAATTCCGGGGTTTGTCACTCCCTCGCTGTGCTGTGGAGCAACCAGGCCCAGCACTTTGGAGATGGTACTCAACTCTTGATCCTCGGTAAGGAGCAGGGCAGGGGTATAGGGCCGTTGTCCCTTGGACGTAGGGTCCCCGTCTCTCCTCCCAGCCCTGGTTGCTGGGGGTCAAGTCAACTCTCTTGTCCCTGGGGGAGCTTCCAAAGAGCTGTGGCGGCCACTCCTCTTGGTGCAGCTTGGCGGGTCCCTCTATTTCTCTTCCCTGAGTCTCCAGTCCTTAATATTTGCTCCTTACTCTTTCCTTGGTTCATCCTTCCTTCTCGTGTGTGCGCGCGCATGTGTGTGCCCATTCTAAGCCTGCTCCTCTTTCCCCATAGTATGCTTGGACCTTTCTCCTAACGGACCCCTCAGGTCCAGAGCCATGGTGGAGCCTGGTCCTTGGGAGCGAGGACTTGCCCTCTGGCAGGAGCCCTCCATGGGTTTTACCACGGCTGCCTGCAGCTGTGTTCCTATAACTCGCCGCTCTACTTTGGGATGGGCACCAGGCTCACCGTGACAGGTATGGGGCCGCACTCCTGGCTGGGGTTGTCTGTGTGTGATTGGTCAGTCCAGGAGTGCGGGTGGCAGGGAACAGGGGTGTAAAGGCAGGGCTCAGAGCCACCCCTTCCCTCCTGGAGCTTCGCAGACCCTCGGGTATAGGGCTCCAGATTAGCTCTTTGGGCTTTTTGTGTTCTCACTCTGCTTCTCTTTATTCTCTGGGACTCCTCTCATCTCTCCTGTTTTAAGGGTGTGTTGTTTGACTTTTCTCTCATTCTCTCTCTCTCTCTCTCTCTCTCTCTCTTTTTTTTTTTTTTTTTTTTTTGATTTGGATCTTCTCCATTTTCCCTCCTATTCTATCTCCAAGTCTTCACCGTTGACTCCATTTTGGTGAGTTGTTCTGTCTTCTATGTTAAAGTCCTTCTAATATCTACCACCCGCCCAGAACTCTGTGCTAGCCTTTGTCGTCCTCCTTCTCCATCTCGACTAGCCTCCAAAGATCCATATATGTCTTCCTGAAGTGATCTAGGGCTCAGGAGGCAGCGGAGGGCCAGATTGGTGAGACTGGGCTGATTTGAGGGGTGTTTCTGAGCCCTGAGGGTAGAAGTCCGTGTCACAGTATACTGAGGGCTGCAATGGGTGTCTGGGGGACAAGTGCTAGGCAAGATCAGAGGAGATACAATTGGAAACTTTTGCCATCTTAGTAACAGATAATAAATAAGGTTTAAAGAAGAGAAAATAGGGAGGAGGCCCCATTTTCTCAAACCTCAGGATCCATGCTGGACTGGTAGAGTAAGGGACCCATCACAAAACACTAACACACCGTTAGTGTACTTGGGGAGGAAGCGGACAGGTGGAGGACGGGGAATGGTGGGATGGATCTGTGCTGGGCATAGAGACAAGGCCAGAGGAATGGGGTACCTGGTCCTACCAGACTGGCTGGCTGGAGCAGAGTTTGTCCTGCAGCTGGAGGCTCATGCCAGCAAGTGTGATAACAATTAGAAAATACAAATTACTGGGGTCTGTAGTACCCAGAATCTTGGGGCTCATGGGACAGGCTGCGGGATGCTCGAGCAATTGGAAAGTGGAAATCTCAGAATCTCTGAGATGTAGAAAATGGGGATAATAGCACCAGCCCCTTAGGGTGTTAAATTGTTAGGGGCTAACTTTTACAGAAGTCTTTGTAAAAGGCTCGGCTTATTGGGGCCATCCTTTCCATTCGTGTGTTTATCAGCACTGTCCCAGCCTTTGGCCTTTTTCCAAAAGTGCATCTCAATCTTCTCATTCGAAACACGTCCCAAAATGTGGTTAAAGTGAAGACATCTGGGTTTCCCATACTTCTGCTCCAAAAAGCCATTCCTCTGGTCAATATGGAGCCAAATAGAGGGCACAGTCCATTCTGGCAAAAAGACGGGAACATGGGAAAGGGATGTGCTTTCTCTCATCCCTCTGTGTCTTCCCAGGGGCCCTGCCTTCCAACAATTCCAGAAATTCTCCCCTGTATCACGCATGAAAAGGGCCCAGGGCTTTGCAACATGAGCTCTCTGACGACACGGCCCTTAGACCGAAATTCGTTCATATCCAGCAAATATGACCTGAACTAGGATTTCCAAAGCTGGCAGGGAGGCTTGCTGGGCACTGGAAGGAAAAAAGAATTGGACCCATGGACAGTATCTTTTATGGGATTACAGCCATCCTGGGCAAGCTACCGCACACCCTGCGTGCCCCAGTGTAAATGGAATAAAGGTGAAACATCGGAAACATTATACCCAGAGGATTCTAGTTTCCTCAAAGCAGGTTACATGTTTAACTTACACATACACACACACATGGGAAAGAAAAGGAAAAGAAAAGTGAGTCAGGAAAAGCATTTAGAAAAAACTATAGTCAGATACAACGGGACAGTGTCTCCTCCAGGCAGCAAAAGCTAGTTCTCCTATGTGCTATCACAAGAACAGACACGCAGACACTTTGTACAAAAGGAAAGTGATAATTAGAAAAAGTTGATTTGGTTCCTGGGATCGTGCTGCTGGAGAGAATCATCAGCCTCAAATCCCAAGCTCATTCAGCTGTACCATAGGAAGAACCGATAGTCACCCACTGAAGAGGGCTTTGAACGAGGAAGAGAAACAGATAGACTCTCATGATAGAAATGGAACAAGGCCTTGAGAAAGAGACTCTGTCAAGAAAGCCAAGGAAATCAGGACACACTGCTACCTTAGGGGATGGAAGAGACAGTCGGTGGTGTGCACCCATGGGGTACCGGGAGGAGTGGCAAAGCTGAGTGAGAACAGAACGAAGACAGGACCTACTACTATATAATTTTGCTTTAGGATGACTCCATTTCCAGCTCTCTCTGTCTTTCTTTATTTCTGTCACTGTCCCAACCCCAGTCAGCTGTCAGACCAGTCCTGGTCCCAAATCCTTTTCCCTTGCAGAGAATCTGGAAAAGGTCAAACCTCCCACGGTCACAGTGTTTGAACCATCGGAAGCAGAGACCTCCCGAACCCAGAAGGCCACGCTCGTGTGCCTGGCCACCGGCTTCTACCCCGACCACGTGGAGCTGAGCTGGTGGGTGAATGGGAAGGAGGTCCAGAATGGGGTCAGCACGGACCCTCAGCCCTACAAGGAGCGGGTGGATGGGAATGACTCCAGCTACTGTCTGAGCAGCCGGCTGAGGGTGTCCTCTGCCTTCTGGCACAACCCTCGTAACCACTTTCGCTGCCAAGTCCAGTTCCACGGGCTCGGGGACGATGACAAGTGGCCCAACAGCAAACGGACCAAACCCGTCACCCAGATCGTCAGTGCCGAGGCCTGGGGCAGAGCAGGTGAGCGGGTCTGGGGGCTGGGCAGAGAGTGAGCTGAGCACAGAAAGGCGGTGCCCAGGCAGACACAGGACAGGGCGGGAAGACCAAAGCCCAGCATGAGGGTGAATGGGCACCCCGGGGCCAATTCCTCCCCCAGATCCTCAGCCCAGCAGAGCCCTGCAGCTGGGCCCCCCCTTCCCTGTGTGAGCCTGTGTGGCTCAGCACCGACGGGGGTGCCCCCAGCCCCTCTGTGCCACCACGTTCCACAGAGTTCCAGGATGGCATGGCTCCACGGGCACAGCACCAGAAAGACAGTCTAGGTGTCTAGTCTAGTCTCTTCTGTGTCTAGTCTCTTCTGTGAGAAGCCCAGTCCGAGCCTGGGGTCCGTGCTGACCAGAAGGCTGACTTGCTGCGTTAGCATTTGTGTTTGGCTCGTTCTTAATGGAAGCACAGCTTCCAAATAATTTTACATTAGCTTCAGGTGCGCCCAACTTGGCAACTTTCCGTCTGCTTTAGAAGATGGGGCCTCTCACCCATTCCCTCCCCCTTCTCTCTTTCAGACTGTGGCTTCACTTCGGGTAAGTGACCGTCTCCTCTGCTTGCTCTGCGTCTCCCATGGTTTTGTCCCAGAAGCCGAGCATGGAGAACCATGGACCCTAGGGTGGGGGTGGAGAGGCCAGAGTCACGTGCTCACAGGTCCCTGTGTGCTCTCCTTTCCTACCCGCAGTGTCCTATCAGCAGGGCATCCTGTCTGCCACCATCCTCTATGAGATCCTGCTGGGGAAGGCCACCCTGTATGCTGTGCTGGTCAGTGCCCTGGTGCTGATGGCCAAGGTAAGGAGGCGGGCAGGATGGGGCAGGCAGGTTGAACATCACACATGGAACATGAGGGGATCTCAGAGGTGACTCAGCCCTGATGTATCCTGTATCTCAAGGAAATTATAATAGGACGACCAGACTGGAGAGAAAGTATGGGGATCATTATGGGATGCTGCACCAGACGATGGGGAGAGTCAACCAGCTGTACCAAAATCAGCTCGCGAGTCAGGCTCCCTGAGCCCCATCCTGCTGTTCATGGCCCTTGGGAATTTAATCATGCCCTTTCTTCCTCAGGTCAAGAGAAAGGGTTCCTGAGACCAGCTCAGAAAATGCACCCTGAATTGCTCATCATCCTCCCTGAGATTCTCCCTAACATGCTCCCGTCTGCGTTTCTAGAAGTTAATCTCTCTCCACCTCTTATCTCCTTCCTGCTGGGATATCTGTCCCTTCTCTCTGCTTTCCTGCAGACTGAGCTCCTCAACCCTGAAACGGAAATAGACTAAAACAATAAAAGTGTCCTGCCAGGCCATGCTGTGTCTCCGGGGTATCTATGAAGTTCTGTCCTTTAAAGATTTAAGGAAGGCCCCACCCCTGCCACATACAGAGGGACTGACTCTTCTTTCTAAGCAAGGCTTCTGGCTCCTGTTCATCCTGATTGAGAATGGGTTCCACCGTCCATACCCAGGCATTCTGGGCTCCTAGAGTGTAGGGTTGGTCCAAAGGGCAAGGAGCAGGGGACACCCGTGTAAGGATGGGCAGAGGCGAGCCCTAACCCCACCTCAGGACAGGGCCCAGGATAGGGCAGCCTATGGGGTTGAATGCTTGGTCATTTTTCAATTCCAGACTCAAATTTCATTTGTCATGTGTTTGGGTTTTATCTGTGTCTGTTCTGAATGCCCCCATCTCATCTTGTTTTGAGATTTCAGCAGAAGATACAGCTCTATTCTGCATCCCTAGGTTAGAATCCTAAAGAAGGCACAGAGTTGGAGCTACCGATAAGTGAAGCCCAGTGAAGGGAGCATCCCTTCAGGCCCTGAGGGAGGCATGGGGAAGGGGCTGAGGTGTTGTACCTGAGCAGCCCTTCCCTTGATGGGGTAGACAGCAGGCCACCCCAAATGCAGCATGTCAGGCACACCCGCCAGGGGCAGTGACAGTTACCTTACTGGGGTAAACTCTCCAATCCAGTCGCATTCACTGCAGCAGAACCCTGCACTGGGGGGAGATGGCGTGAAGAAGGGATGTAATCAGGGGAAAGAAGACACAGACCCACAGACCGGTGAGAGAGGCCAAAGATAGGTTCGTTTAGGCAGGAAGTTAGGGGTGAGAAAGAAGTTTGACAACCAAGAAGGGAGGGGTAAGGTGGAGTGCCTTATCGGTGGCCTGCTTTGTTCCCAGTTTGGGGCTGGGCATTGGCACCAGTGTTGTCCCCATTCATCCCCAGCATGTCCCTGGAAGCAGGTGTCCTCCCTCCTCCGCAGGTGAAGAAGCCACAGTTCATAGATCGAATGACTGGTAAGCAGTGACACGTGGCACATTCTCTTGAAGATGGAAATCCAGGAAGTTTGTTCCAAGTAATAGCCAGAATGGTGTGACTGTCACCGGGTGACCATGGAGTAGCCTCACCCCATTTCCAGCGTAGGACCCCAGGAACAGACCAAAGGGCGTGTTTGTTTCTTAGCAGTGTAGTAACAAAGGATCACAAACTTGATGGTTTAAAGCAGTAGGAATTTATTCTCTCCTAGTTCTGGAAGCCACAAGTGCAAATTCAAGGTGTCCATAGGAACGCACTCCCTTCAACAGGTCTAGGGGAGAATCTTCTCTGTTTCTCCCCACCTCTGGCATCTTGGTAGTCCTTGGCTGTGGTGGCATCTCTCCGACCTTATGCCTGCTTCCACATCACCTTCCCATGTCCCTGTGCCTGGATTTCTCCCTTATTTTTTTTTTTGTATCAAGATGGGAGTCATTGGATTTAGGACACACCCTGAATTCAGAAGGATTTCATCCTGGGATCCTTGACACATGCACCTACAAAGACCTTGTTTCTGAGGTTCCGGGTGGGCATGAAGTCTCAGGGGACACTATTCATCTGAAAGCACCGAGTGTCCAGGAACTAGAGGGGAGGGATTCTCCAGACCCAACTCCCACAGGCCAGGAAAGGACACAGCCCAGGGCGAAGGTGGCCTGGGGAACCCTTCACATGCCTGTAACTTCCCATCAGTCATAATTATTTCTACATGTCTCAAACTGCAGCTCAGTTTTTTTTTTTCTTGTTGCTTATTTGTTTTTATAATGACTTAAAAGCCCCAAAACAGGGGACAGAGTTTAGGTGCTAGATCAGCACCTGCAAGAGCCGTGCCTCCTATGCTTTAGACACACGTGGTGCCTCCTCACAAGGCTGGGACTGGGAGAGGAGCAGCTGAAGGGACAAGTAAGCTTCTCAGAGAAAAGAGGGCATTGTATGGACCAGAGGGGGTGGCGTGGGACAGGTGTTTGTGGGTGCAGAGCAGTGAGGAGGGTGAGCAGGAGCAGGACATAGATGGAGGAGAAGAAAACCCCACACAGAAGGAAAACGGGCTCTACAGGCTTGGTGATCCTCACTGGGGTGTACTGAGCAGGGGCATTAGCAGCTGGGTGGATGTGAGCAGAGATGCCTGTGGGCACCTGGGGTTTGCCAACGTGAGGGACATGAAGAATGAAGGAATGTCCTCAGGCGGATGAATGACCCCCCCCACCCTCCTGCTCCATGAGACATAACGGAGCTGGAGAAAGTTACAAACATCATCTGGTCCCCACTGCACACCCTGTTTGACCCAAGGAGAGCCCCCTTCCCCATATCCTTACATCTGTTTTCTTGTCTCCCTCAGACGGCAACCCCCAGCCTCCCCAATATTCAACTCACAGCATTAGGATGTTAACCTCTTCTGCCTCTGCCCCTCTCTCTGGAATCCAAGTAGGTCCTTCTGGACCAATTCTGGGCATCTGTCCATCCTTCCCCAGGTGAAAGTGAGCAATGACAGGTTAGATGAGAGGTGATCATATCATTTAGTGCACAAATAGGGACACTACTGAGGGTGAGAGATAGGATTCTGGGACAAAAGAAATGAATTAGCAGGTACCTGGGTGGCTCAATAGGTTAAGCAGCTGCCTTTAGCTCAGGTCATGATCTCAGGGTCCTGGAATTGAGCCCCGTGTAGGGCTCCCTTCTCAGTGGGGAGTCTGCCTCTCCCTCTGCCCCTCCCCCTCGCTCATGCATGTACCCTGTCTCTCAAATAAATTAATAAAATCTTAAAAAAAAAAAAAGTGAATCAGGATTATCCCAGCAAACTGGGACACACTCCCATTCCAATTAAAGATTCCAAATTCCAAATTCCAAAGAATTTCTGGGTCCAGAGAATGGGAAGCACTGAAGCAATCCCTCATGGGCCTAGGCCTGTCTGCCTGTTCTAGTCTCAAGGCTCATCTAAACTTCATACCATCCAAGAAACCTGTGGGCAGAAGGTAGCCCAGGGGCAGGCTCCACAAGTGAGACCAGTACAGGGCAAGGCATGCTTCTTGAGTGATGAGACTTAGAAGCCAGCTTTCTCTAGGATGCCTGGGGTCCCCAAGTTCTCACCATTTCCCACCTTGGGGACTCACCCTGGGCAGACTCTAGGAGAGGAACCTCAACCCTGTGACCCTTAGAGATTTACTTAGAAACTAAGAGGCAAAGGGGAGCCTCCAACTGGTCACATCGTCAGGAGACCATCCTGGTAGGGAGGGAGGTTCCTGTGGGGAAGGTCTGCTCAAGCCATAGTCGCTTGCCCAGAAAAATTTTCCTATCAACACTAAGTATCTGTGAAAGACTCACATGCCTTCCTCCTGCTCATGGCCAGGCTACACACGCTGGGCAGTGGGGATGGGGGCGGAAGGTGCTGGGACCATCCAAGAGACAAAGACTTTTTTTCTCTTAAGTGATTAGGGAAGAAGGAGGGAAAGAAAACAGAAAAAAAAAAAAAAGGATTTTAGAACAAGAAACGGTGGAAAATGAGCAGCAGATCCTGGTAAATATTAATATCTCCCTTTCCTGCCCTGAGGCATTTCCCTATTTTTCCTCTTCCACAGGGACCCAGGGAAGGGCAGCCTGACTGATCTCAGCCTTTACCAATCAGTGTGACACACAGCCCTAAATGTCCTGTGTAGGAGGAAATCATGAGGTCACTACTTAGGGGTGGATGTGGGAACAGAGGATTGGAACTTGAAACCAAAAACACACTCAAGCCGACGTATTTTCATGTAGGGGTGCTAGGAGATGCTAATGGGGATCAGGAATGGCTAAAACCCCCAGGTCAATTCTTAGCACCACTACCGACCTACAGATGAATTGCTCTCCGGCTCACCCATTGACTTCTTCTCAACCTTCATGACCAAGTTTACTTTTACCCTGTCCATGAAACCACCCTATGCCCATATAAGAAGACTCACGGTATGGAAGGCCACCAAGCCCAGGCAACAATTTTAATTACAATTCATTCCCATTGTTTGTGGCAGTCTCCTGAAGTTACTGGAATGGTGATTTCTGGGTCTTAACCCCATAATCTGAAACGTTATCCACTCCATCTGGGCCCCAAACACAAAGAATTTCCTGCCTTAGTGTAGGGCTGGATATCCTCCCCTCTAAGTTGGAGACTTTCTGTTCTCGAGCTGTGTTTATGGACCTGAGGTCCCCAGGTTCCTTAGCACACCACTCCTCTCTGCCTTTCCTGAGGATTTGTGGTGACGGCACCTGGCCATACCCTGAATCATCTCCCTCCAACAGAGGACTTAGTTTCTGCTCACCACACACCCACATGGGGACTCTCCTCCATTTCTGTCCACTGTCCTTACTTTCATTGTACCTGAAGTCCTAATAAGGTTCCCTCCATGGGGAGGATGGGGTCACAGTGACAAGTGAGTGGGTCCGTGTGTCAACAAGAGCCCACAGACATGACTACCGCCCCAGGAGCGTCCTCAGCCAGTTCTAAGTATCTCAGCCTGTCCTCTGTGAGTCTGAGGGGTGGTCTTCACAGGAGACTGCCCTCTGGGGCTTTCGGTGGGCCTAGCGCCTACACTCTTCCTGAACAGACTCGCTGAGGGAAGGAAGTGGTCTTTTAAAATAGTGGCTTGAGGGGCGCCTGGGTGGCTCAGTGGGTTAAGCCTCTGCCTTTGGTTCAGGTCATGATCTCAGGGTCCTTGGATCAGGCCCCGCATCAGGCTCTCTGCTCAGCGGGGAGCCTGCTTCCCCCCACCCCGCCGCCACCTGTCTTTCTGCCTACTTGTGATCTCTGTCTGTCAAATAAATAAATAAAATCTTAAAAATAAAATAAAATAATAAAATAGTGGCTCGAGGGTGGTCCTGGGCTTGACCCTTTCTGCCCAAGTCCTGGGCCATTCCAGAAATTGCAGCTGGGTCCTCTGCACCCTCATTCCCACGGCGAGACTTCCTCTTGACGGGGTTTGGGAATTACACACACTCTTGCTGGTAAGGGTTCTTGTATCCCCCCAGTTATGTCT